CCCCCCCAAAATAAAAACAAACCCCAAACAAGAGGGAGAAACAGAATCTGTCACCTTTTATACATTGAGCTGTTAGAATCTGAGTGGGGTTTTGTTTTACCGTTTTGAAACAGTATGCCACAAAATGTAAGCACAATTTTTTTTTTTTGGCATACATTTCATTTGATTGTATTACATGCCAGCAGTCTGAAGATTGAGATAGGACCTCCGAATTAACGAAATATATATAAGTAAATATTGTGAAAAATACTTCCTGTCAATTCAGTCTGAAGAAAGTAGACACAATGGTGTGTCAAAAGCTGCTTTTCTTTATTCATTGAATGGCTGCAGACTGAAGCAAAACCATGCATCTRTTCAATTATAATCTGTCATCCATCTTGTTTTAGGAAGATACACGAGTAGAATGTGTGATGACTGTTAGTGGTGTTTGAAGTTATGTTAACAGCTCAGACAAAAGTGGATTTAGGTTGTGTGGGAAGCAGCATAGAAACAAAGTACCTGGTGGCACACACTGGTGTGGACAGAGAATTTCTGGGGCATTTCCTCTTCTTACCATCACTCTTCCCTGTCTCTGTTCACAGCTTCTCTGGGGTCTTGTCCTCAAGTTGCAGTGGGCTGGCAAGGAGAGGTTGTCTCTGTCCTGGTCTTTTTCTTCAGCCTGTCAATCATTTAACCTTTGGGTTTTTATCCCCCAGGAGAGAGAAAGTCTTTCATATCAATGCAGTAGCTGCCAACTTTAGATCAATCTAATCCCAGCTGTAGTTATTTTTAGGAGAACAACAAAACAATCTATTATGCTCCCAATAGGTGGGGTTACGGAAGGCTTATTTTATTCTGTTGTTCACAGAAGCAAACTGATAGGAAGCAAGTGTTCTCTTAGTGTACTCTGAAGTTAGGCCAGACACAGTAAGTGAAACTTCCTTACAGGTACTTGGGTCTGAGTTAACAAGAAAATCAAATGCAGAAATAAAGGCATTGTGTGTTGTCATTTATTTAATTTTGGTTCTGGGGTTTTTTACTTTTGTCTTTTTTTTTTAATTGGAGTAATTTCTGTTCCTTTCAGCCAGGCATCCTGTCAAAACTAGTTGAGTTTTTTAGAAGCTGGTTTCCTTTTCCACAGTATAAGAAAAATGATGACATACTTCACCGACTGGTAAGTGATCACTTTTTTATTTTTCCATTTCCTCTCCTAATCCACAGGTCTTCCTCTCCTCTATATCTCATCCTCTGAACAACGTCTTTGGCCTGTGTTGTTGGTTTTGGCTCCAAGAGTTTTACTTGTGCTTTAGATAATACTAATTCTGGTTTTCAGTTACTGTGCCAAATTGGGCACAAAAGGACAGGAACAGTTAGCAGCAGCCAGATTGAAGATGTTCAAAATGTGGAAGATAATAAAATAAAATACGCAAGAAATTTTAAAAATTCTTGAAAGCTAAAATTTGTTTAATTGCACTGTAGGTACCTATTTGGTGGAAGGCAGTCGGGAGACACTGACTGAGAAAGTCCACATGTTGCAGCCTAGTGCCTTGTAGAGACCACCTAAGACAGAAGGTTCTAGAGGTTCAGCTGAGTATTGCTTCACCTTCTGTTTCAGCTTGTTAGCTCAGGCACAGCACCACCGCAGGGCAGCTGCACTGGCCCTGGACCCATCCTGGCCTCTTTGCTTCCGTATTGCAGCATTTGGGAAAGGCAAAGCAAACTTTGCTCTTTCTGTGCAGCATCACTTTCCAGTCTGGGCTTGTCTCAGATCTGCTTTAGCTTGTACCCAGCTGCTTCAGCCTCCTAGTATGGCTTGCAAATGTCACTGTATTCAGACTGTTCCAGAATCTAGAATCTTAATTTATTTTTTCTACAGTGATATAGGGATGATATCTACAAATAGAGCTTTGAAAGAAAATGTTGAGCAAAATGACAAGTTGGGATTTTCCATTTCTCACAGAGTGCTGCTGTATCTCAGTTCTCCTTTATCTCAGGCGGACAAAATTTCCTCTGAAAACTTATTAGTGATCTTTGATTGACTTTTTTCTTCCTCCCTCTTCCTCTATGAATTGAGGGTATTATCTTAACAGCAAGTTTAASCCTTACTGTCCTGAGATGGAGGCATAACCGAAGGACATGGAAAAGGTGTTTGTCCTGCTGCATACTACAGTAGAATACTGAAATGACACAGGATGCATCAGAGAAGGGGAGAGTTTCCTCTTGCACACAGTCCTGAAACACATGTTTTCCATTAAAAGTAGAAAGAAATTACCTCAGGTGACATCTGTGCATGGAATTAAATTGCTAAACTAGCTATCATATGGTTCCATAAAGAATCTCATTCTGTCAATGACAAATTAAACAGATTTTGTGCTATGAAGTGTCACCCTTGTGTTAAAAGTTTCTATTACAGACTTTTCAGAAATATTMTTTCTTTCCTGTAATTAGCTAGATGCAGGAATGCACATGTTCCATGTTTATTGGGTTTTGTTATGACGTTCTTAACTTGAAGTAATTATGGTTTGGTGCAGTATGCAAATGAAAATTTCAGGGGTCTTCTCTGATGGTTGTATTCATCTTCAAGAGCTGCTTATTTGTCTTGAAGAGCTGTCGTAGGGGGGAAAAATAGCRAATGCTTATGGCATCAAATTCACAAATAAGTAACTCCCTAAAGTTTGTCTGGAGTTTGGCACATATGAGGTCTTCAGAGCCCCATGCTGTTTCATGTTTGCATTGAGTTCCCCTGGGAGAGGTACAGATTCCTGCCGGAGAGCACTCCGCTGCCTTGGCTTAGGGCTTCAGTCCAGTGCATTGACCCTACTGTTATTAAGTGTCCACAAGTGACTTTTTGTTGACTAATTTTCCGTATTTCTCTTCCTCTCTCTTAAGTTTTCTTTCTTTGTTAATGACATAAATTATGTAATGACATTTAAAAAAAATWAAAGTATTTTCTGTTTTATTAATGATCTTCAAACAGATACAGTCTGTACCTTGATCCTTATGCAAGAATTTTGTCATACTCTGTGGCCTGTTTCCAGTTATTGTTACTATCTAGCTCAGATCACAAAGTCAGTGTGGTATATCCTGCAAGTCTGAACTGTTATGTAGTGTGTGAGCTTTTAAAGTTAAGCAAGTTTAATAAAAACGTAGCTACTTGTGATATATCTRAAACATTCAGACTCTGGGAGCAGATTGTTGAGCAGTTAAGTTAGAGTGTGTGGGTGTTTTCCTTGTTCTGGTAACTTAATTTTAAGAATTTGCATATTCTTTCTTTACTAATGCCTGTTGTTCTGCCCATTTGTTTGTGGTAAGGATGTTGGATTTCGATTTGACACGCTCCGTACCATCCTGCAACAGGAAGTTCTGCTGCAGGAGGATGTGGAACTGATTGAATTCCTTGACCCCAGTATCCTGTCTGCAGGGCAGCCTAAGCAACAGGAAAACAGACAGCTTCCAACACTACGCTCCCTAGCAACTCCTAATATTTGGTATTGTATAGAGAATATCTACCATTGCTGAGAAACAAGCTAAAGTATATTGTGCACTCTTCATATAAAATGCAACATTAAAGTAACTGKTTTTTTTTCTCACGTCCTTGGGTCTTTATTCTACTGGTCCCCAGATTTTTGTATAAGCATGTTTTTTTTTCATTGGGCATTTTATTGAAAGAGTGAATTTTAATCTGAGATAACTACATGAAATGAATGGATACTCCCAAACTAATGTATTCCATTAGGAAGAACTAACAGAATTGGTCAATTCATTAATTTCTGAAGCTATACTAAGGTGACTTTGATAAATGAGATGTGATTATGAAGACTGAATTGAAAAGTGGGTTTTTTGGTGTGGTCTTCATAAAATGTGAGTGGGGAGAGGTGAGATGGGGTGTGCAATTAATTTTCAAACATAGAATATCAGAAGAATAAACTATAGAATATTTAAATAAGTTGCACTGAAGTTAGCAAAGTCTTGTGGAATTCACTCAAGAATACTGAAGGAGCTGACTGCAGCAGTAGCTGAATATCTACCACCTGTATAAAAAATAGCAAGGCCAGTGGTTCTGACAGAGTGTCTTGCTTGGAAATGCAGGAATCAGTAGAAAAAAAATCACATAATATCGCCCAGTGCTATTTTCTCATACATACACTAGAAAAATAGATACAATTTTTATAGAGTCACACCTCAGCTGTTTAAGTTATGTCATTATTTATGCTCTCTGTCAAACAAGTGAACTTTTGAACCAGATTATTCTGGTCCTAGCATTATTCAGTTTCTTTAACTATTCAGCTGATAAAGTATACTTACAAAATTTGTGAATGTTGTTCACCTTCCAGATGACACCAAATTTGTGTTTTCATAGACTAGAGGTCAACAGTGGTTGGAGAAATACCTTGAAAACTATAGAAAAGTCAATAAAGACAAAAGTTTAATGCTACACTTGGGAAGGAAAAATCAAGTTAATAAACACCATGTAATGAATATTGGTATGCAGTACTACTCCAGAAAAGAGTTTGTGTACTGTGGGATGGGATAGTGTTACGATGTGTAGAAGGTGGTTGGTAGGAAGGTGGTGATCAGTCATCATTTGTTCTGTTCAGAAGAGGGAAGGATATGAGAAAGAATAATGAATTAATCTGCCAGTGATTCAAACTGGGACCTGGGGGAAATCTTTTGAACTCTAAGGATACTTGTGGAGTCTCCATTTTCATCTTTGGTCTTTCTGGGTTAACAGCCAGAAGCGGAAAATGAACAAAGAGAGCTCTTAAATCCCTTCTAGTCTTGCATTGTTGTGATTTATATTATTTGTGGGACCTAATTTTTTTAATGTACCAAGGAAGTTAGAGGCTATGTGTCTGTTGCTTTTAGAGATACTTAGATATTTGGAATATTTTAACTGTGGACCTTTACTAAAACATATCAGTAGCCAGTAGTCCTAAAGAGTTAACACTTGTAAAGCTGGTTGAAATTTGACCACAAAACTGTCCAGGAAATAGAAACCCAGAGATTGTGCCTTATTATAGAAATGGAAAAATATTCCTTGTGAATAGTTCCAAACCTAAATGCAGGATACACAACTTTAAGAGATGAAGGGAAAAAACAATTCTTTGTTGAAAACATTCTGGAAAAGTATAATTGTAATGCACCTTGAAGCTATCCCATCCATCTCTCTGAAGATGCTGATTGTTTTATGAAACTGTATAATAATATATATGAAACACAGTGTGTTTTTTAGCAGTTACTTATTTATGTTGAATTTTTCTAGGTGGAAGTAACAACTTATAAGCTTTTTAGATCTTTGAGAAATTACTGAACTGAGATTCTAGGAATTCTATTTTTTCTATTTTTTAAGGATTTTAAAAGATGCCAAACTATTTTAAATGATTATTCAAGCTACCTTTATAAAATTGTGTTAAAAACTAGTGGTGCATTCATGTCCAAGTTAAATGAGTCAGACTCTAGAAAAAATACAGCTGGCACTACCTGAGGGATTTGCTACCAAAAGAAACATGCCCTTCCCTACTGTACTCTTGAACCTGGAAGTACAGATATTACAGTTCCTAAATGCCCTGGCTTATAATGCTGAGTAGTCAGATTTTTTCTTTCTCTATTTTTTTTTTCTACTTTTTTWAAAAGTCATATGTGTAAGAGAAACTGACCTTTTCAAAGGGGTACATTACTTTCCTACTGATGCTGGAAAAAAGCYAAAGAAATGTTTTCTTGGAGTACACCAACCAAGTAATATCATGGCTGAATTAATCTAAACCTGTCTGTAGGAGCAGTTTTCAGTGTTTACAGCTCCTACATAAAAGCCCCATACTAAGATGCTGTAATCTCACCTGTAACTGAAATCTTCATGATTTTCCTACTTGTTGGACCTCAGGAGTGTGTGGTTGATGATCCTGTCTCTGTTTGCAGGGATGTCTCGCTGTTCCTTGCCTTTGTAAGCACACTGGTTATGTTTCCTTCATGGTGGAAGGAATCATCATGGCTGCTGTGCGGACTGGTGCTGCTTGCCTATGCAGTCTTTAGAGCGTGGGGCACATGGAGGACAGCCAAACTGCAAATGTCCCTGCGAAAATATTGTATCCAGCTGGAAGAAACAGTGGCGAATAGCCGAGCTTTTACTAATCTCGTGAGGAAAGCTCTACGACTCATTCAAGAGACTGAAGTAATTTCCAGAGGATTTACCCTGTGAGTCTGTATTTCACTTTATTTAATACACAGATCCATTCAAAACAGTTGTCTTCTGAAATTGTCTTGTTACACTGTCTCCTATAAGAAGTGAAATTATTGAAAAACATAATACTTACAGGTTTTCATTTAGATAAAATAGTGTAATTACCATTCATACTAAAAGTGTGAATTCTAACAACTCAGTGTTAAAACCTTGCATCCTGAAGGTGAATTAAGTCTCACAAAATTCATATGACTTTGAAATTTCCTGCTTTGCTAGGAATGATATATATGAACAAATGGACTTTGAACTAATTTAGTTGACTATTTTGGGCAGTCATGCAAAGAGTTTTTTTAATCTTATTTATTTGTTACCAAATCTATGTAAATAAACTGGTCTGCAAGTAATCATCCATATTTTAGAAAACAGGATAACATAAAAACCATTGTATTTTTATTTAGCAAATAAAAGTCTGAAATATTGAGAACACAGTAATAAGCAAAGACCATCAAACATCATTACCCACCTCAAGTAAAGTATTTTTTTCTTGTATACAATTGTTGAAACATTTAGATTATTATTTACTGTTGAATTTGCCTSTCTTCCACTTAAGGGATGCAAAAGTGTTTCTGATTATTTAGCTCTTGTAKTTATTTGGTAAGTTTTGCTTATTTTCTATGTGAAAATACATCAGCAAGTGTTCAGTGTATGCAAAGCTTGAATCCAAAGCTTTTCCCTTGTAACCACCTATGATGAATCCATATCTGTGCCAATTCTACTYAAGACTAAAGGAGGTAGGCAATGCCAACACTTAAAATACACTCAACTTCTCACTGAAAACAATCAAGAAGATGCCACCAAGCAGATGTTTATCTGTGCCAGACCAACTACTCTGCATTCAGACACATGCTCTTACATGCAAGTTTGCAACTTTAGACTTAAAATTTTGGATTAATTTTCTAGCTTGAGATACCTTCAGTATACTTCATTGCAGAAATGTTTTGTTCTCCCTTTGGAATGCATAAGCATGTCTTCAGTCTGCCTAGCTATTTGTGTTTTTTGTTTTGGTCTGTTTTTTTGCTGAAGAAGCATATACTTGAGCAATAGGCAGTCTTATCTTTGCAAATGGGTTCTTAAAAGAAATTATTTTTCAGGCTTGTCCAAATTACAGATGAGAAAAACATTTGGATTTTTGCCTAAGTTTAAGCGAATGAACTTGTGGTCAATGTCTACATTGCTGCTGCCTTGTTCTTCAGCTACATATCTTAGATAACATATTAACAAAAAACAGACTGATCTTTAAGCTGATGCTTGATCTAATAGCTTCTTTACTTGAAACTTTGGCAAGCTTTTCAAAATACTTGGGCATATGGATGGAGTGGGAGAAGTCTGACTGTGCCAGCATCCTCATTCAAAAACTGTACAGTATAAAGAAGTCAGTGCTGTACAAGTTTTGTGTTGGTTTAGCCTAAAGGAAGTTCTAACCCCAGAGTGTCMTTTTCTGCAACCACATTTGCAAGAGATGAACCGGGTAATGTGAAWTTCTTTGTTTTGGGTAGCTCTTTGTGTGTATCCAAAAAGCTAGTTATACCCTTTTTTTGCTACCATTTTCTACCTCAGCAGAATGAAGCTTAGTATGTTCTCCTGTGGTAATGTTGTTAAAGTCTTAGAGCTGTTCAAAAAGAGTYTCATGGCAATAGAAATGGTTGCATCTGAAAAGTTACTGAGTGTTCTCTTGTGTTATTTTACACCCGTGAAGGAATGAGATTTCAATCAGGTACAGTATCCTGGTCAGTGTTACATAGGCAGCTGTTTTAAGGTACTGCAAACTCAGCATAGTTTGGCCTTGCTTTGATCGTGTTGTGAATGGAAAGATACTGAAGCTGTCATTTAAAGGGACAGACCTGGACTTGTCCTACTTAGCTAAACTCTGACAGGGCAAGTCCAGATCTTCAGCTTTGTCCTGAAGTTCCTCATGCTCCACGACTGGTTTTCCTCCCCATTACATCATCCATTGCTGTTCTCACAAGCTAATTTACATATCCATTGARATGTCTATGGCTTTGCTTTTTTCTACCCTATTTGCCCCTTATTAATTGATATTGGACTGTCTCTGTAAACGGTAGATCATTACTGATGAGGTTTTGGTCAGTTGTTCATAGGTTAAGTGGTTTACTAGTGTGTGGTGGTGACTGCTGTACTCAAATAGATACTCAAACATCCTTTTGCCTTCATTCCTCTCCCACCCCATAAAACTGACAGCAGCCACATAGATCAGGAACTAAGAACTTGAGCAGAAGCTAGGACTAGATTACCTCCAGTGGTCCTTTCCAATCTTAAATATTCTGTGATTCTCTGATCCTGTCAGGCTTCTCTTATATTACCTGCAATATACAAAAGACAACTGGATATTCTGATTCCAGCATGGCCTTTGGAAGTGTTTAACACTGTTGGAATTTCAGGTGTGTCTGTGTGATACCAGCTCTGTGATGCAGACCTCACCTGGGTAGGTTAGATTATAGATATTGTGTAGTGAAGGTAGGGCAGTGCTCTACTCAGGCAGAAGGGCAGTATTTCTGTCTAATTGCTTCATTTGCAATTAGACAAATGAAGTCTGATCATGGGTTGCAGCCTGGAATTTCTGCAGGGTAATGAAAGTATGTCCATTGTCTTGTCATAAACCAAGAACTGAAGAAATACATAATAAAAGGCTGCAGCAATAAGCAACAAGTGTTTATTCCYTTGCCTGTCACCAAAATAATAAACCAAAATACTCCCTTTCTACGGTATTTTAAACTAAAATTAAGCTCTATGATCTTAAAACATATGGATGTATATTAGCATCTTTATAGAGCTGTTTTTATGCCAGAGTGCAGTAATAGGTATTTATTAATGTGTTTATAGAAGTTTTTTAAAAGTTGAAAGCCAGTTTAAGATTTGGCTTGTAAAATTAGTGGACAAATATGTTTTTGTTCTATACAGTAAAATGTGTTTGGAGCTGGAGGAAAGATGAAATTCACCCTTAACCTTTTTTACTTTTTGCTTCTTGTGGCTGATATGCAAAGTGAAAACATTTTGTAAGCCCAATTAAAATACGTGGAGGATAAGAGAGAGACATTTTACAAGGGTGTGTGATGATAGGACATGGGGGAATGGCTTTAAACTGAAAAAAGGCAGGTTTAGATTAGATACTAGGATGAAAATCCTTGACTGTGAGAGTGGTGGGTCAAAGGACAGATTCTTCAGAGAGGTGGTGAATGACCTAWCCCTGGAAATGTTCASGGCCAGGCTGGAAGGAGCTTTGAGGAGACTGGTCTCGTGGAAGGGTATCCCTGCCCATGGCAGGGAAGTTGGAATTAGAGGATCTTCATGGTCCCTTCCAACCCAAACCATTCTATGATTCTGCAAAGATAAATGAAACATTAGGAAGTCAGGGATATGACATGTCGACAGATAGACATATGTAACAGATTATACTAATTTAAATTAGTGGAATAAGGAAGAATTGTTTTATAAAAAGCACTCAAAAGAAGCCATTCCAGAAGGGAAGCAGATTGTTTTGCTAAATGCTGGCACTATGTGCTGTGCATGAGTTGTGCTACATTTGTTCTGTATAGGAGTGGGAAAAGTTTGCATCATGGTAGTAAAACAAAGATCTTTGTCTCTTTTTTATGGTAGAAGAATTTTGCTCCATTTCTTTGAGCCTGCCTCTGGAATTCACATGGGGCTTGAGTCCACAAACTGATGTGAAAATTTATACATAAACACTTCCAGTTGTTACTTTCAAAAGCTGGGGAAAGGTTAGAGAATGRCATGTACTGCATTGTATACTGTGTTCCCTAGTGAAAGGTACTGCAAGGCTAGCATTTAAAATTTACATTTAGAAATGGAAATGAGCAGAGCTTGTTTTAATTTTTTTTCAGATTTTAAAGTAGTTTATGCGATGTTATATAAACCATTCTAATAACACATAATTTCAAATGGTATGCAAATATTTTATATTGTATTTCAGCTAGAAAATTCAATATATGGCAATATTTGGCATGAATCTGCTTGTGTTAATGGTGTTAAACATGCTGATATATGGTTCCAGCCTTGCTCACTGGGTGGGCTGCTCTGCTTTTCATACTTGACCGTGAAGGCCACAAGCTATTCCCCTCCCGGTCAATGTGCAGTGCAGTCCAGCTAAGCACATACAGTAGGACTGACATTTTCCCAGCAGTGTCAGGTCTGCTGACTTGGTCAGCTTTTTAGTCAGATCAACCACAGAAATAGCTACCAGTGCAGCAACCCACCTTAGACTTTCTAGGTACCCTGGATGCTTTTCCTTTTAAAGTCACTGGACATGAAATCACCTCTTCGCTGTGCCCTGGGAAAGATGAGAGCAGAAGCAGGCTTCCAGTCCCCAAACAGTTAATCACAACTGATAGTCCTGTTGTCCAGACTATGTTCATTCCTGAGTTGATTCTAGTAGAAACAGTCCCATCAAGCAAAGTGCACCTAGGCTRTTTCCAGAGTCTCAGTCACAAGTTTGACTTCAGATCATATATGAATAGATATAACTGGAGCTTGAAGTTCCACAGACCTGTTTAATGAGGAAATAAATAAACAAATAAGTTTTTACAGTACTAAAGCCATTCTAAAGTGYATTCTAATAGGCAAATGGGATAGTTTCTTTTAAATGGAATATTCACCCGAATAGCCAGAYACCAAATACATTTTCAAATGTGCTTGTGTGGTGTATACATTACATGTGTTTACCTGTCAAAACTCTCACAAATGCAACTGTCATTCATTGCATAATGATAAAATCTATGTCACCATTCAAATAATATTTCTTTTTACCTAGAAAACTTTATGCATTAGGGAGGTTAAAAGAATGTAGTGTTYTGCATGAAAAGCTATGTATTGGCACATTTTTCCTGCAAAAATTATTGAAAAAATAAATTTGGATACAAARAGGTATATGTCAAATACCTGTTTATTAAAACTTCCAGAGCTGACATATACTTTTGTATTCTGATTGAGGTAATTTTATGGTATGTCCACCATTACTATACCATTTTGGAAAATTTTAGAGAAAATAAAAGTGCTCAGGAGTTTTGCCACAGCTCAGATGAGAATAGAATCAGGCTATCTACTGAGGAATCCTGGCTGCTGTCTGAAATTTGTATTAAATATATCATTGATATGATCGGTTGTTTTTAATCTCACAGTTACTGAATGATTTGAAAATGTTTTCTAAATAATGAAATAGGAAAGCTGATGTACTGTTTTTAAAAAATACTTAAGAACATCTGTACAGTTGTATCACATTTTACTTTTCAAGTTTGCTTGACAGGGTCAGTGCCGCTTGCCCATTTAATAAAGCTGGACAACATCCTAGTCAGCATCTGATTGGCCTCCGGAAAGCCGTGTATCGATCCGTCAGAGCCAACTTCCGAGCTTCAAGACTGGCTACTCTGTACATGCTGAAAAAATATCCTTTCTGGAAAAACCCACAAGTTCAGATGTGGGTTGCCTACCTGCAGTTGTGTCAATGTTTAGAGTCAGGGTGTCTAGAAACATACAGTACCTAATTGCCTATCTAAACAAAGTAAAGAAAAGATAGCATTTAGTAAATAGTAAATTTGGGCTTGTGTTTGGTTTGGAACATGCTTAAAATTTTTGCTTTTTTGTGTACKGTGCAGTGTGGGATCAGATTCAGTGCATGGAAAACACTGCCCCATTACTGACACACATGCTTTTGGTGTAAGTGCTGATGATGTGTTTCAGAGTCCTTCAAGATTTTGTTTTATAATTCCACTTAGCCATCTTTTTCCCTTGCACCAAAATATCATTTTCTCGGAAAATACAGCCTTTCAGTCAACAACGCTGTTTGTTGGTTTTCTCCTACCAAAATTATCTGCAGCAAATTAAGCCTTTATGTTAATGTATATCTCGAATGTGTTAGAAGATCTGTCTGATAAACCTGTGACAGACAATTAAAAATTTTAGTTCACAGTTTTATTCATGGTGATACAAATTGCATAAACTTGATATGTTGTCATTCTCACTTCAAACTACAAGTTCTGCAATATTTGCCTGTGGCTAGTGTACCCCCTTTTAAYTTGGTAGCTGCCCTCAGTGACTACTGTTAAATAATTTTTCCTTAATTAATATTTGGTGCCTTATAGAAGAGAAAATAGGCAGTTATATTTTAGCCTTATACCAGCCATTTGTGTCAAACTTGGTGGATCAGTAATTTACTGTGATGGAAAGTCATATTGCTTACATTTTGTGTGGAGGGACAGTTGGGTATTGCAGAAACAACTCAGCATTTTCTTATGCCAGTCTTACTCTGATTTGTTTGTATCAGCAAGAGTCCATTGCTCAAAATAACAGAACAAAACACCATGGAAAAGAGTACTTCTCTTTTAATTCAGAATATAAGGTTATAGGAGGATGCAATGTCTGAAATCCTAAACTAGAAACTAGGCACTTTGGGTAAGTATTTACAGGATTTCATGCAGAGCAGTTCAACACTCTCTGCACTRTTCTCTACTGAATTGTGTGGTAATTCAGGCAGTGCTTCACTTGGCATGCTAGCTGCTTAATATTTTTATATTTAAGAGTCTTGTGGGTTCTGCATCATGGGAATCTGATGTAATTGTATACAAGTTGGATGGAGGAAATTTTGTATCTTATGTTACTGGATGATATTAATTATCTCATCCTCAGCTTGTGCAGAGTGGTGTGATACTCCATTTCCACTGAACTATTTTGATAGGTAGGACCTGGGCATCGGACCACATAAACTTTAAAAGCTTGAATTTTGTTGTAAGGTGATGTTCTTTGCTGTCAAGCATAAATAGTGTAACTTTTATTAGTGATGAAACCAGACATTGGGTAGTAGTATTTTAAACTGAGTGATATTTTACCCCATTAGGGTGAAATGCATATAAAATGCATTTTATGTCTTTGAGATGCACTGGGCACAGGGAAATTTGCAAATTTCCTGTAGTAAATCTGGTAAAAACTTGTTCCTTCTCCTCTGTAAAGGTTTAGTTATTGCATCATGAAGTGTTAGAAAAACATATACCTTTTAAYTAGAGAGAGAAAGTTCACACAAGAAAACAGTAAGTTAAACAAATAATACCCTCTTGGGATTATAAAAGCCTAAATCAGAAATCCCACGCTGAAAGGTCGGAGTAGAGACATTTGGGCATTTTTCAGTGCAATGTTTCTTCCTTGACCAGCCAATTCATCACATTCTTATCTCACCCCTGGTGACCAGGTGAGAATTTTGTGGAAAAGCAGCTTAAATTTCCCAGGGATCCTTTGAGGCCCTCCTGTTAGGTCTTTASATAGGAATGTGCTTTTGAAGACTAAAGTATGAATGTTAAATTGTTACATACAGRGATACATTAGCATTCTTTCTTTTCTAGTGTCTAATCTGATAGAGGTTAGACATTCACTGTACAAGTATTTTATTCTGGTTTCAGCAGTTMATTCTTAAGTCGCTTTGCCTTCTCTATCGAGCCAATTAGGCATGTAAGTTGAACAGATGTATGAAGTATTTTCACAGAGACGTAGAAAAATTTAACGAATCTAAGATAGTTACTGTATTTTGGCTTTAGTAGAAGACACTAGGGCTAAAAATGTTTACTACTAAATCAAAGTGCACAAAGGAAGTTTGTTCCTGTATATTATTGTGTATGTGTTTAAACTTTCTAAATGTTTGGTCCTTAGGAAGCTAATGGGGGAATGGGATCAGTTGTTTGCTTTCATCTATCAGATAGAAATGGGAGTGGAAGGGCTTCAGTAGAGGAGGGCAAGGCAGGAAGTGCAGGAGGCCACTGAGAATCCCTGGCTGAGACACAGTATCGTAAATGGCTCCTTGGTCAAACCTCTCATTTGAGATGTTGCCTGGAATATATTTTTAGCATGACTTAGGAATCCACATGTGGCCAAACTGCTTTTTGTGGTGTTCATGCTGTTGGAAATGCCATGTTTGGGAAAAGGCTAACAAAGAGTACAAATAGTCTAGTCCTGAAGGGTTTTGACCCGACTTTTCAATTTCTGATGGTGTTACCAATCTGCATCCTATGTGCTCCCTCTGCTGGGCATGCTGTCAGCTTAATTTAGAGTAGACACCATTTATGTGAGACAGCTGCTGGTGACAACAGTAATATTCTGATCTTAAATAACTTACACTGCAGGTTTTTGCCAGAACATTTAATAGGCCTCTTTCTTTCCCAACATGAGAGATAATAGAGGGATCTTGGTCATTTTGCTTTACTGTTTCCTGGGGCACAGAATATTACTTTTTTATACAATGTTCTTCTATTCAACTGGTAAACATCTCTTGAGCAAATTGCTTTTGGAAGTTCAARCCTATGAGAATTTAGCATGTGGAAGATTTGGGTGTGAAAGTGGATGGAACTTGTAGCTTCCCCAGAAAACACATTAGTTGGACAAGAGAGAAGTGCTTCTAATTGGCTTYATGTGCAAGATACAAGAGCATTCAGTTTCTGTATTTTAAATTAAGACCATATTTTCATTGATGCTTTACAAATATATATATTTCTGTGGAACAAATGTAATTTTKTACATATGGCCATAATTTTAAGTTTCTGTTTTAAAATGAATTTTACTATTTTGTGACTGGGTAACCAGCAGAAAACATGGAAAAATCTTGAACTGTTCCTCCCCAGCCTGAGGTTAGCCTAAAACTAGTGCTATTTTAAAATAAATGCTGCCTAGTCTATGAATTATTGKAAGTGTCTTCTGGTATCAGTTATGTTGTGCTTGCTTCCTACTTTTTAAGCATTTTTGAGGACTAGAAATGTCCATTTTTCTACTGAGATTTTAAATTTGGTGAATGGTGTTGATAGATACCAGTTTGCCACTCTTCCAACAAAGATGATAATGTATTTATAGMGGTGTAATCAATAAACTTAATGGTATGGCAATCAGGGAGCTCCCGTTCTTCACAGAGCTCTCTGAAATATCAAAGACCTTTTACTGTAAAGATCTCTGAGCGATCCATCCACAGACAGAGCTCTCAGGGAATTCACATCTGAGTTTGGTTTTTAACACAGGCTACCTTTAAAACTTAAAATTRCACAATTGTTGTCATTCCTCTGTTAAAGATATGATTTGTTGTTTAAGATTGACATGAGCTGTTGACATGAAACTCAATATTTAAAAGTAAGCTGTTTCACTCATTCAAAAGGGATGCAGGAATTTTTCATCAATCTACTTTGTTTTTTTTTATGTTTTTGTATTTAGACCTATGTGTTTTGTCACTGTCTTATCTCTCATGCTTCTAAGAGCCTCTAAAACTTGTACTTCAAATAAGGATTGCAAAACTTTCAGTTAAAAAGGATTAAGGTGGATTTGGGATGAATGCATGTGCTTTCATATAAATTACCTTGAATAAGAAACATTATGAAGTATTTCTCTCSTTTTCTGTGTGTTTAATGCAAAAGTGGCTTTGTTTTCCTCCTTAACTCCAGCTAAACCTACCCTCTGAACTCAGAGAGTGACAATGTGACCAGCTACATCTGTGTGGTCCCCTTTAAGCAGCTGGGTCTGGGACTGAGTGAAGAGCAGGTCTCCGAAGAGGAGGCACACAATCTGACYGATGGCTTCAGCTTACCTGCACTCAAGGTAAGCTCTCCTAGAGGGATATGAGGCATCAATKCAGACTCCTGGTGAAAATCTTTCTGTTGTCTGTACRTCCTAGGCTGTAGTAACACGCTGAATTGAGGGGAAGGTGTAGTCAATTAGCCTCTTATGTRTTTCTGCATTTATTGGCATTCAGGTGATTTCTTTCTGCATGTAGAGAAAGAGTAGTTGCTCAATACAACATCAGATTTTTTTCTGCAAATCATGGAAATTCAAATCAGTRTTCTATAATCAGCTTGATCAATCCCCTTAAACATGATTTTTTTGCTCTCTGATTCACCTGATCCCAGCTGAATAAAATAATTTCTGGAGTTGTACTTACTTTTTTATCTAATCTCTTGATGTGAATAAAAAGAGACACATCAGAAAATAATAACTAATTGCAATTGCCAAAGGGAGTAGCTGCATTTAGTCACACTGAGGAGTAGAAATCATAAGCTTGGACCCCTGCTGCCATGAGTCAGTGTGATTCTTTGATCTTTGAAAAACATTTAACTGAACAGAATGACAACCATACAATGACCTTTTTATCTATTTTGTTTTGAGTTGTTAGGTATTTTTAATTTGCATGAGTCAATTGGAAGGAAGATCTAATTTGAATGCAAACCTTCAAAAATCTGATGGTCCTCTGCCAAGGCAGTTCCCTTTTAATATTGKTTTTTTTTAAATGGAAAATTCCATTATTATATGACTTCTGTGTTTCTATGGAATTGGCTTTTGTTGCATTTTTTTCACTTAATTAGACCTTGATTTCTTTTTTCTAACAGTAAATGCTACCAGTAATAGTGTTTATTAAGCTTTGATGCTTTGTCTAATTAGCTGTAAACTAAGAGCTACAATCAATAGAAGCTTTTGGGATTTTTTCCTTGCATTTCATTAGTTGAAGTTCTAATTGCAGCTGTATAAGCCTGCTAATTTACCCACTTCTTTTTAAGTACAAGAAGCCMGTTAGAGGTGCCCAGACTTGTAAGCTAAGTCTTTGTTTACCTGCAGTTTGCAGTAATTTAACTGAAACCTGTTTTAGTTAAACTGGTTAGGATGTTTTCTGCATACAGTAAAGCTCACAACAACTCGTAAATCACAATTTATGTTAGCTCATAACAGATAGCAATGTAGGCTGGGTATGGTATAACTGAATCAAACTAAATTAACATAAATCAGTCCTAGCAGATTCCTGTGGAGGTAATAAAATACTTGGATAACCTTGGGACATATTTGTGTTGTGAGCTCTGGATGTATATGCAGTCCTCTTCAGTTTTTTTTTACTTTGAGAGAGCTTGTCTTTATATTAAAATGCAGGTCATGCTAAGCCATATGACAAATATAGCATATGTCTTTTGGCTACCTTGTCCTTCAAGTAAAGCAATTTATTTAAGAGTGAAAAATTTTCACATAAAAAAATACCAGTTTAAGCTAAGGAGAGCCAGCTGTATATTTTGTGTAAGTGTCAGCAAAAATCATCAGTAGTCCTTGGCAGAGGAAGCTACTTGCAACCATAAATACATCTGGAATTTCCTTTTCTCTCGTCATTGGGCCTTTTTTCAGGTAGGTTTTTGATTATTATTATCAGTTCCTGAAGTCCACTATTTCTGTGTGCTACTTTTTCACTGCCTGTGATTTATGTGTGGTGGAAGGGATTGGTCTTCTTTCGTGCTTATTACAGCATGAGCTTTTGACTTTATCCAAGATACCACACATTCAGGGACACTTGAGGGATTGCTGCCCATTTGTTTGTTTTGTATTTTTGCACCCAGCCAAATCAGTCTTGCATGTGTGCCCCAAATTAATTTCATGTCTTTCATGTGTTCTTTTTTCTCATAAGCATATTTTGTAAATTGAGATTTTTTTTTTTCTTTTGGAATACTTTATCAGTTTGCTTCCAAGTATTTTTAACACAATGAGTAAATATTTTGTCTTCCTTGGTCTGAAATGCTTGCAAACAGATTTGAGTCTGCACCTCATAATTACCTACAGTTGATCTCTTTTAATAAGGGTCATTATTACAGAGAGAAGTGTGATAACCTTTCCTTTTCATTTTAGACATAAAAGGTGCTGATGTTCTGTCACAGTCTACTGAGCAAACTTAACCAAAGTAAGAAAACAATTAATTTCATTGGAAGTGGAAGTTCTCAAGGAATCAAAACTGTGGGCTGCCTTGCTCCCAGATGGACTGGCTTCTTTAGTACCATATATAACATGAATCAATTCATTTCTTAAAAGCCTTTCCTTCCTTAGTGGTATTGGTGGAATTTCTTACTTTGGCTGAAAAAATAAATAAGTTAGCTCAACTTTCTTCAGATGTAGAATATTTTTTGTTGAAGTTCACTGCAATTAGGTTCATGTTTCAAGGTTGGGTGTGGGGCAGTGCAGAAGTTATTAGATTGTAGAAGTGTAGCTTCGCCTTATAAAGGGAAAAATATGTTTGCTGCCTCTGGAATTTTGGCAGCCCTTTATGAGCTGTAGGGTATGTGGAGATTATAGCAAATAATGAAACTGGCTGATGAGAATATGAGGCTTTGGACTCTGACAACTTTCTGCACATAATTGCCTTTAATATCCTTCATGAAAGAATTAGCAGTCACCTAAGGTTCACAAGATATGAACCTCATGTGCTCTGGAATACCCTTCAAAAACAGTCAGTGGATTTTTGCAGTTTTTCAAAGTTCCTGTTGCTGGCCAAGGAATGTTTTCCTGTGGTGTATCTGTACATTTACTTTGGAGGCCGACTGTCTTCCCAGGTGCACAAAGCTAACCCTACCCTGTTTTGCAGGTGCTCTTTCAGCTCTGGGTAGGGCAGAGTTCAGAATTCTTCAGGAGGCTGGTGCTGCTGCTCTCCCCAGCTAATGCTTCCCCCAAGCCCTTGGTGTCCCCGGAGCAGCTGCCTCATCACATCCTGAGCGATGTGACCCAAGGCCTACCTCATACCCACGCGGCCTGTTTGGAGGAGCTCAAGAGGAGCTATGAGTTCTATCGGTACTTTGAAACTCAGCATCAGTCGAGCTTGGAATGGCCAGCCAGGACCAAGCAGAAGTCCAGAGAGCTGAACAGTCTCCAGACAGCAGTTCGCAGCTTGCAGCTTCATCTCAAGGCACTGCTCAATGAGTAAGTTTACACACGAATTAACAGAATGTGTAGAAGACTTGGAAGTTCTTCGGTTTGTCAGCTTGTGTCCCCATTGAAAAGCAAAATAAGCAGATACATATAGTTTTTGCAATCTTTACACAGTATTGGCTCAAAGATCCTTTCTTTAGTATGGAATCTGATATTTTTCCTGGGTATTGTTTGAGTATCTGGTGAAAATTTGAAGATAAACAGTTGCACTAAGATTTTGCCTTGCTTTTGTCACTGCCTTATAAAAAATATGAAAACATAATTATCTTCCATTGATTTTKCAACAAACCAAATTATTTTTAAGAACATTCAGCTCATAGTAACTACCTAGTAAATATACCTTTAAATATTTGTCACTGCCTTGGTGAAACAGTTGAGACTGTCCTAGTCTTTTAATGTTACATATAAAAATTACTGTATCAAAAGCAGGTCACCAGTGTATCATGATGTAGAAATTTATTAATTTTATAATTTTGGGGTATCTTTGAGGAATCTTTGAGGAACTGACTGAGTTAAACTTGAAGAAAATTACAGTATATTACATTAAATACTTGAAAGAATGGTGAATCAAATATTTATTTTCTGTTCATCTCCTCATCTCTTAGGGTAATAATTCTTGAGGATGAACTTGAAAAGCTTGTTAGCACTAAGGAGACACCTGAGTTAACAACAGAAGCCCATCAGGTTCTGGAACAAAAACTAAAGTTTATTCAGCCTCATATGCAGGCAAGCAACAGCTGCTGGGAAGAAGCCATTTCTCAGGTGGAAAAAATGAGTGGAAAAAACCCAAATAAAAAAGGTAAACATGGGAGATTAATTTAGCAACTAAGATACAGTTCAGAGGTGAAATGGTCAAATGGATCAAAGACAGTGTTCAGTGTTTAGCTGAAGGTCTTACAACCATACACTTTGAAAAATTGTGTCCTTGTGTCAGACCTTTTCACTGTAATGGCCTTGAAGCTTTTGTTTCAGCAAAAAACTCAGTCTGTTAGACCTGTGGATTCAGATGGTTACATTTTCAGGTATACACTTACCATAGCCTTTTGCCTTTAATTGGTGAATCACCTCTGAAGGGGTAGGACTTTAATGAATTGCCCCTGAGATCTTAATTTATTTACTACATTAAAATTATGCCATTAATTGAAATGATAACGACATTGATATGAAACTTTTTTGATGATCACATTTTCTGGAACATTTTAAATTGTGGAGGACATACTGAGCATATAATACCTATTTACCTCATCTCTCAGAGAGAATGAACTAATCTTTGGTGTTCTTCAAAGACTTGCTGAGCAGCATATCCCAACATTTTGCTTGATGTCCCTCTCCTTAGGGACCTGTACTGCCCATGCTGTTCTTGTGAAGCATGRCCAGCTTAAATAATTGAGTAAACTTAGGCTCTCCTGACATGGAATCGAACCCGTAATTTCTAATCTCTTTTTCCAGGAGCATTTTTACTGTCCTAGGAAGGCACCGCCCAGCATCTGAAAAATGCTGGTAATGGAGACTGCACGAGGAAAACTGGGGGGAGCTTGGGGTATCAGCAAATAATCTATAGAAATCCAAATCTGAAATGCACTATACTGTTAATGATCTCTGAGTGAAATATCCAGTAGATGGATAAATATTGCTGTGGACCTAAAGGCAGGCAGGCCGACCTTGTTCATGCTTACATCAGAACTGGGAGCACTGGGAGAACTTCTTGCAGGCTCTGTGCAGGTCTGGACATGGCATAAACACACCTCTGTACTGTGCCAGATAGTGTAGTCTTACAGCTTCCCCCTCATTGCTGCATAAAGCAACTTGTGAGAATGTTCGATGTAGCCTGATACATTAGCATGTGCTGACCTGTTGTTTTGTAGATGTTCTCCAAAACCTTCAGTTCCACTGATCTTTTTTCCTCTTTCCTTAAAAATCCTTTCTAGACTACACACATAGTATTTTTAGTTATTTTTGTTTTATTTTTACTTTGTGTATAAATTTCACAGCAGGCATTTTTATTATAACTTGCTTCCTTTTAGAGTTCTGTACAAAAATAACCTCGTGTGTGATCTAGAAGGAAGGGATTGTATGGGAAATAAATAATAAAATAATCCTTCACTTTTGCCCACTGGCCTTCCGGGAAATGTGCTGGGATTGAACCTTTATTTTGCAACAGGTTTACTGAACTACTCCACAGGAGCCACTTAAAATTATGTTGGCCATTGAAAACTATTTTTATCTGATAGCATTTAACTTGCCTGGTATTTTCCTAAGCCATCCAGCTTCTGTGAATTGACCTTTTCAAGCTGTACATGAAATCAAGTCCAGTTCTTTTGCTGTCTTTCTACAAATTTTAACAGCTGGTCTGTCAGTCATGTTGTGTAAATCACTTCATYAAATTGTCTCATTTTTTTTCCAATACTTTTTGAAAGCTCTTTGGGAGAAGATACCTTCCTCTTGAAATAATATAGCAGCTCAGCACATCTTTAATAATAATACATTATGATCCAAAACTAAATTAATCTTTTGACAAGAGCTTCAAGAGTCCCATGGCATTAGAACATTGTGTCTAAGTGGATGCCAAGTACTTTTGCAGCAATAGATGTTTAGGTCAAGTGACTAGTTCAGCCAGTAGAGCATCTATATAAAGAGGTGAGTCTCCTTCAGCAAGCATTACATGCTTCTTGCCCTAAATCATCATGTGTCAAAGCTGGTTTCTTCCAGGTACATTAAATAGCCAAAGCAAAGCTTTTCAGGGTAACAGATTGAACACTCATACACTCCTGTCAGCCTGTCATTGGTGGTGACACCAACATGTATCAAATATCTTAGCATATGGTTCTTTCAGGGAATGCAGTTTGGCTTCTTCCTTTACAGGGCTTGGTATATTTCTAGAATCAGTGCCTTTACTCACTGATCCTGTCMGGTATAGAGCAGAACAAGTGGGGCCTTAGCACGTTGAAGGAAATTCACCTCTATTTAAATTCCTTGGGCAATGATGGACCTATCTATCATTCATCTGCATGTACATCTTTGCTCATTTCCTAGAACTTTCAGCTTCTTCTCTTTGTTCTTTCACATTTTTTCATCATTGATAAAACTAATTTACCACTTAGAGCGTCAGCAATTTAAGTATGTAGTAAAAAAGTAGTGCTAGCATGGCAGAATGGAATACTCCTTATGGCTAGTTCAGTATTGTATTAATGCTCTTTGAAACAATAGCCTTCAAACTGTTTAAATTCCATCCTTTTTCCTTTTAAACTGTCTTTATCTTTGCAAATGTACACAGTTTTTTAGATATTTATAAGGAYAAGGCCATAGTACTCTGCTGCAATCTCACCATCTCCAAATGTTCAGTGTATAGATTAGAAATGGAAAATAGGGTTCGGCCAGGTCATTAAACCTATTTCCCTTCTCAAGGGTAAATTAGTATTTGTGATTTAATGTTTACCTATTCCTAAAAAACTGTCTTTAGAGACATTTTACAGTATTTCCAGGCATCTATTCCAGCACTTAGATCCATTACCAGTAGAATGTTATTACTGAATAGAAGTACCTCTTGTTGTGATTTAAAAGCAGTACTTCTGACCTAYCCACAATGGAAATCCATTTCCTCTTGATGGCTCTTACATTTTGAAGATGATTAATATGTTTCTTTCTGTCTTCTCCACATGACTCCCTATGCTTCAGCTCTTCCCTGAATACTATATTAAGTCCTCTGATAATTTACAGTATTTTCCTCTATATTCCCTCAAGTTGGCCCATTGTATTATTGAATAAATGGACCCCAGACTGGGTACTATGTTCTGTACACAGCCTGATCAGTGCCAGAGTAGAAATGTTATTTCTAACTGTCAGTGCTGTTGCTTGTATGTACTAGTTTGTAGTTTGGCTTTTTGCTTGCAGCAAGGTAGAGYTGATTGTGAGGCTTCTCACCTCCTTCTCAGTGGTGCTTCCCAGTCAGTTGTGGTAGATTTGTGCACTTGGTTATTCCAAAGCACAAAAATTTGCAGCCACTGACACCAAACTGCTGTATCTGAAATCCAGTTCTACCTGGGTTGTATCTCTGATTTTCCAGTATTAGTTTATATTCTAAAGGTGCCCTTCAGTGTTCTTGCAGATTGTCCCCACGCCAGCGGATTTAATGAGATGCAACACTTGTCTTTCACCCATTGGAAATATTAAAGAGTGTTGGACTTGAGACAAATTCTCACTCAATGTATTCAGGTCTGAAAATGGTAACCACACTATGCACCTAATAGCRWCTTTTCCTGGCCTATGCATTTTGCTGATGAGAATGTCATGACAACATGTCAGAAGTCCTACTGAAAACAAAATGCAGAATGTCTTTGGTTCTTTCTATATATAAGACCAGCACTGCACTCAAAAATTAACATCTTTTATTTTCAACAAATCCACTCTGTTACTTGTCTCCTTGCTACCTTGCAGGTAGCTTCCTGTAAGTTTTGCTCAATTATTTCTTCCAATATTTTCCAGTTATTTGAGGCTGTTTTACCTATAATTTTACTATTTTACTTCTTTTTTTAAACTTGGGAACCAATTATCTTCTCTAGTTTTACCAGTTTTGCGTGCCATCTGCAGGTTTYCAAAGTCTATAAAATTTCTGAGACATSTTAGTTGAAGTGTTTCAGACAAGTTCCATTGGACCCAGCTTCTATCGAAGCAGCCATTATTTAAATGCTCTCTCTAACAGTGTTTCAGTGTAATCTAACCAGCCTTCTCACAGTTTGTTTTTTTTTTTTTAATGTGTGCAAATCTTGCCTATGAAAATACCTGGACTCTGTCTAAGTGAGTCAAAAACATCACTCAATACTCATTTTTTTTTAAAATCCCTTTTCTTCTTTCCCCTAAAGGCAAAATTGAAGTTTCCTGTGACAACCTACAGCATACTACAGTACCTTTAACACAGCCTGCCATATACATAGAAAACAAAGATCCAATCCCTGAAGAGCAGGTAAAAATAATAAAAAAGGCTCATTTAAAATAATAATTGGGAATTATTTGCTGTATCCATTCTTTTTTTCAGTTGCTTGTGCAGTTATCTTGTTGTCTTGCTGAGACGGACAAGTAGGTGGCCAGTGCCACTTCAGAATTAGATTTGTAGAAAAAAAATAGTRTATATTCCTTTTGCTGTTCCATGGGGAGATACTCCCCATCCTGGAAAAAAGAGCACTAGTATTCATATCTCATATATATCATTAGGAATGAGTGACTAAAGGAGAGCAGCAACACAAGTCAGAGTAATAAGTAAACAARTGAGAATTGCTAAAAGGCAGTGTATGAAGTAAGAGTTCTACTTGAATATTCCTGGATAAACTGACACAGCTGCAAAAGTGACAAACTTGAGCACAAACCATCCTGCCTTCAGTTTGCTCCGTCTCTGCATTTTTTGATACCTTTTTACTGTAAGACTGAACCATTTTGTGTTGTTTGAGGAACTCCAGGGTGATTGTTGGGCTGTCTTGAAGAGAGGTGGGCCTTCTCCATCCCAGAACTGAGTGGCAGATGCATTCTGAAAGCACACTGAACACCCATGCTCTGCTCTGTCCCACTGTTGCTTCTTCCCCACAAGTAATCTCTCCTAGATGTTTTTCCATATCAAAAAGCTGGGACTAATTATTGGATATTTGTTATAACATAAATGGTGCTGTGGTTTTTTTTATGCTTGTAATSTAATATATTTAAAATTGGAGGATAAGTTTGCTATTCTCTATATCCTCTTAATAAAGATTTACACAAGTTAAATTGGCAAGATACCTGACTACCAAGAATTGGTTAGAGTGTAAATTCAAAAAAAAAATAAACCCACATCAGCATTGCTTATTTTCCCATGTAATAATGGASAGATGGACTCCCATTTTCAAGGTATATCACTTGATCCTGCTTGTGTGTGAAGGTAAATCTCGTTAACTTTCTATGAGTAGACTTGCTCCAAAATCATACAGATGGAAATGAAAGCAGTGCCAGGTCCACTGGCTCTGCACAGAGATCCATCCCAGCACTGTGATTGGCTTATGTTGACATCACTTGATCATGAATCAGATTGTAGGATTGAGTCCACCCTGGCAGTGAGGATCAAGAGTTTTTCTTTCTTTCTTTCTTTAGGAACTGGAAGCATATGTTGATTATTCAGATACAGATAATGAATACAAAAGGGAAGATTTTTACTGCTTTTCCCAAGAAGAAAGAGAGAGACAAGAACGAGAGAGACAAGAATCTAAGAGAGTGCTACAAGAATTGAAATCAGTACTGGGATTTAAAGCTTCAGAAATTGAAAGACAGAAGTGGAAACAGCTACTATTCAGTGAACATGGTAAGCATTTCTTTTGAAAATTAATTCCTTCCTTAGAAAATATAGGTGTCTGTTTGCCATGATTTTCTGACTATATTAGAATTCAGACAGTGTTTACCTGTAGTAGTGTCTTTGATAGAACTGTGTGGCCTTAGTTTGGCATTCCATCTCTTTATATTTTAGCCATCATTTTGCTATATATTGAAAAGAACTCAGAGAAATGGGAATTTGGCTCTTAACAAAACACTGAACTAAAATATTAAACACACAAAAATGTTAAGACAACATAAATATGACTATAAACAGGCTATAAACAATGCAGATTGAACTGTCTTTTTTTTCATGACTTTCCAGTAAATATGAATTTTAATCAGGGTGCATAAATTAATTACTTTTCAGAATTTAAAGAAACCAGCAGAAATTATTCCAAAAGTATATAGGTTAAAGAGCTGGATTTCAAAATATTAGAGGCTCTTAAAAGAATGCAACTGGCTTTTGTTTCCATGAGAGTGAGTATACAGACTATGTTCACAAAAAAACCCCACAAACCATCTAAGAAGAAGAGTTATTTCAAATTAGCCTTTACTAACTCTGAGGACTGCTGGGTATCTCCATCCACTTGCACTTGAAAGCACGAATATGAAAATTTCTCTTGCCTCAACAAGACAGTTTGTCTGTTACAGCAATAAGACTGAATACAACTTGATTTCTCTTACTGCTTGAGTTATTTGATTTATGATCTTTAAAACTGGCAGTAGTTTGTCTTTTCCTTTTTCTCATTTTTATTCCTTCCTCTTAAAGACAGGTTAGATACTTTCTATAAARTATCATGTTCTGTGTTACAGAAAACAACCCTCAAACCTGACAATATGTCCAAGAATTTTGCCTTTGCCAGTGTCTACAGAAAAAAGACCATGGATTGCAATCTTTCCATAATTTACTGGRAACACAAAGTAACAGACCACACCTATTTATGAGACTGTCTCTTTTGACAAACCATCAAAAATCTCTGTTCTTTACAACTTTCTTCTTTATATCCGTTAACTACAACTGTGGTAGAAGAGATCACTTGACTGTTGGTACTGATTTCTCTTCTAGTTCAGTTAAAAATCCCTGAGATATCAGATTGCACCAGAGTCTGCTCATGAATAGGATTTCTGTATTATCCCACTGCACAACTCTTCACATCAATCTCTTCAAGACTTCCTTTCCTAACTGTCGGAAGAAGAAGGGATATTACCTCCAGTCCAACTCTTGACTCCTACAGGAGTTCTTGTCAGGGGAACTTGCCTAGGATATTCCCTCACCTAAGTTAGGAGCAGATACTTGTCCATATCAGCATATCCTCAGGCCATCTGTGGCCATAGCTGGAAAGAGTCAGCTGACTCCTGTAGTTCGCAGTAATTGTTTGCCAGAAAGCCTTTGTGGCTTGTGTTGGTTCCTTTTCCTTTCCATGTATGGATATTATGTTGTTTAGGATTAGAGATAAAATGGTGAAGAGGGAAGAAAGTATGGTTTTCTCCAGCTGCATAGAACTAATCATTGATTACTTCCATCTGTACAAACCTGGAAAACATAAGGGCAGTTCATGAAAGTAATAGATATTGTCTTCTTTTGACTCAGATTGTGTGTCTAATCTGACAGCCTGATATGGACACCAGATTCTACTGCTTTTAAGGAAATCCTTCAATATTTCTTCAAAAGAAACACAAGTCAGTAAATATGATATAATGGACCCTTGGCATATTATGGATTAATTTATCCATACACAGGTCATTCCTTTGAAGAGACATTTTTGTTATCTGCACTTTCCACATTTCTGGCTCACCTTATCTTGAARATTTAAACCCAGAAAGGTTCATATTCTTGTTGTCATTGACCCAAGATAATGGATGGCCATGATACCACTTTTCCATAGTCCTTTTGAATCTTGCTTTTACAAGAAAATCTAATTCCATAAATCCTGTGTTTTCCTAATTTGGGATTATTGTGGAAAAAGAACCTGAAATATCCAAAGCATTTAATCTGTTAGTTAAGGCACCCAGCTAGCCATTCTGACCTACCCTAATGAGGACATTAGGGTTTTTGGTTTGTTCAAGGAAGAGCAGGTGAGGGTTTCCTGCTCCAAAGGAAAAGAGGCCTGCTCCAAACAAGCTGATATCTAAACAAAACAGTATGAAGTCAGCTAGAGATGATAGGCTGGATTTCAGGAGAAAAAAGATCATTTTAGCAGAGCACTAGTTTTCCAAGACCCAGTACCATGGTAATACTTCTTACAGTCTGGGCAGTAGGTAGTTTATGGGAGTCTAGGTAAGCTTATATTYTGATCCTTTGGCCTTCTGTTGAGCCAGTAAAATGAATGTGCTTTCGAAAAGGTCTGCCAAGTTCTAAGTGGCTTCATTTTCATTTGACAAACGTTGTAAAATAACTCTTCTGGTGCAAAATCATTCCTAGCCTTTTCCTAACCTCTTCCCTGCGAAAAAGTTCATCCTGTCAGTGGTTGTGTTGTACCCAGCTGTTTCCATTTCTCCCACTTCGTCCATACAACAGTTCTTATATAGCTGTTTCTCAAATTTGGAAARCCACACTCTCAAAACTGATTAATTTCACCTTGCTTATTAACTAGTCAACTCCACAAATTGGCTAGCTACCAGTCTCAAGTATCTATTTTTTGAGAAATTTTGCCTTTCGAAGCATTCTTTGGAGGAAGTAGGCAAGAAGTTTGCTCCAAATGATAAGATTGTAATTGTATATTCTGTCTCTTCAAGCAAATGGGCAGAAATAAATAGCAGCATATTTTTTATGAAACAGGGAAAGAACTACTCCATTAAAAACTGAGAAGAGTCTGGTGCAGTGCTCCTTTAGTATATAAGGCTTTAAAGCCAACAGTACAATACAAATTCAAAACCACAGTCTTTCAGTGTGCTAATGACAATAATTATCAATGTGACAGCCATAATGATGTGCCTGCCTTCAGCTAACTAAAGTGAATATTTATAAATGAAACAGGATGCAAGTGAAAAATCCTAGTACCGTAAATTTTGTTTCTCATGAAAGTTTGTCTGTTTCCCAGAGTTATTTTCATCTCTGCTTACAGGGGTAAAGTCAGAATGGAATTAGAAAGGGAAATGCAACTTGAGAATCTGCTGTTGCTGCTCTCATTTATGTTYGTGATGCTGCTATAATGGAACTACTGCAGTTTAGGGAATCTGTTACATGGAAATGGACATTATATTGTTTTCTTAAAACGAAAGACATCTGTTCTTCAAGGAATGATTGTACCGAGTTTTAGTAACCCTTAACACTGGGAGGAGAGACTTCCTGGCAAGCATCCCGTTGCTGGCAATGGGACTCGCTGCGGCTACTAACTTCAAGAGAGGCTAAATTAAATCACACTTTATTTGTGAGGACATCTGACCTGACTGTATGAATACATCTTGTATTTGCATGTTGTGGTGTATGAAATCAGACATTGCCTATAAGGACTTTATCATATACCAGCTGTCTTTACGGGATTAGGTAAACTGTTGTTCACAAGAAGACAGTTAAATCTGTATGCAGTACAATAGTTTTACTTGGGTTTTGCTTTAACACTGAGTACATCGTCTGTGTTTGATGCCAACTTCAAACACCATCAATTTGTGCTGTCTCTTCACGTCACAGATTTTAAGGAATAGTTGCAAGTAGCTGTGGCATTTCACTTCAGCTTTGTGGTTAGAAAACACTTTTATTTTCAGTTCTGGTGTGGGTTGTGTTTCTGTTGTTTTGGGATTTTTTTAAACTAATTTTAACCCTTATTCTCTTAACATCTTTTCAGATACTAATATATTATTTATATATAGCAGCTTGCTTTTAGTTATGGTTTCATTTTTTCCCATTTTTAAGCTGCAGTGAAACCCTTGTCTCCTGTAGAACCACTGAAGCTACTAAATAATGTGGAATCACATATGAATTCAGATAGAGAAAAGCAGGACTGCAGCCAAAGTTGTGATAAATCTGAAGAAAAAGATTCTAATCCAGAAGTGAATGATGATGCTGATAAAAGCAGGACAGAATATTTGTATGAAGATCCTGAGATGGAAAGAAACAAAGACAGTACTGCAGATGAAGATGTTTCTACAGGGGCTGAAGAAAGAATGTATTATCAGTGTGAAGGAGAAGCTGAAGAACTCAAGCCAAGCAGTGTGGATGGAGTAGAGGCTTCACAGCCTCCCTCTAAGGATGCTTTACATTCAAAAATCAAGGATAGGCTGGCCCAGCTCCACATATCAACAGATTTTAACTTCACATCTGGTCTAGCAGCACAAGTTGCTGCCAGGTCTTTCACTTTTACTACAATGCAGGAGGAGACTTTTGGAGATGATGGGGAGGAGGATGAAGAAAAGACACCGGAGAATGAAGACCTTGTGGAGAACTGTGAGAATGAAGAGAGAGGTTCTGAAAGTGAAGGAAAAATATAAGTCTTAGCTGAACTTTATTAAACCAACAGCAGGCAATTTGATGGAAAAAAAACTAAGGTGGGGGGGTGGGGTTTGAAGCTGAAAATACTGGATGGGAAAAAAAGGAGACCTAAATATTATATATCATGTTCCCTAAGACTGGAACACTAAATAGGACTTCTTAGTATATTGAAAACTTGCAGGTAAGAGAAGTTTAGGCTGCATCCAAGAAATAGTTGGCTATTCCCTTTTTAAGATCCTAGTGATGGGGGTTGGAATTTACCTTTGTGTTTTGTGTTATATTTATTTATATTATAACATGTTGTGGTTATTTGTTTCTAAAAAGAAGGAAAAACAATCTTGATTTACAACAGAGTCCATTTTTTGCTGTCTGATTCTTTTGTGATGGTATCAATGTTTGTTCCAACAAAAAAAACCCATTGTTTTGGAAGAACCTGAACTGTTCCCTGTGATCTTCGCTCATCACTTTTATTTCACTTCTTGTATCTGCAGTGTGTTGGCTAAGCCACCGTAAGCATTTATGATTCTGTGACTAGTAATATGGCACCCAATTAAAATGTAGAATTTTAAATAAAAGCTTGAAACAGCTAGTATTTGATGTGTCCTGGGGTATGAGGCTGAAATAGTAGAGTTAGTCATGGTTCATATTAAGGTTTATTTAGAAGTTTATGAAGGGTTAATAAATAATTTCTGTAAGTTGTAATCATGTTAGAGAAATGTGTTGTAGGTAAATGTTAGCGCAGATTATAAGCACAGCAATAGAAAGTACTATAAACAGCTAGAAGCTATCTGTTAAATTGACAGAGATAAGAAGTAAACACTTATGAAACCATCTATTAATTATTTGTTAACCTTTTGTAAATTGAACCTTAATATAATTGTTTTATTTGATATAGTGATTGATAGGACATTTTTCTTTATGTCCTGAAGTAATTTTCTTAAAGGAAATTATCTGAAAGTTTAACAACATGCAGTATTTAGTTTAAACAGCACACTTGCTTTTCTCTAATGTTCTTCCACTTTTCCTTAGATTACGATTTTAACCTATGGGATTTAGAATCCATGAGAGAACTGTATTTGTGTATTTTCTATCTTATAACAGAGTTAACTGATGATGAGATCTGGATGTTTGGTATGAGGTTATGTCAGTTGTTTTTTTCTCTGTGGTGGTGTTACAAGGAGCAGGAAACTGATGCTCACCTCACAGGTTAATGGTTTCATTGCCCTCTTTGCTTTGCTCTTTGACACAAAATGAAGCTAAGCTCCCATGTCTGTAATGGCGAGAGCACCACTTATTTGTGTGGAATACTCTACTTGGACCTGGATACACTTCCAGGACAAAGCATGGCAAAAATTACTTAGAGTATTTATTGGGTTTTTCAGATTCTGTAGAATAGAGGGGGTTTTAGATCCAGGTGGTACGGAGCAATATCTTTCTTAGGATGCTGTCATGGGAAGTGGGGAAGGTAAGGCAGGTCAGCAGATTAGGGTGGAACTCTTGACAGTATGTCAGAAAACAAGTGCTTTCTTTCAAGCTCCCTGTCCTCTATTAGTGACTTTGCATGAACACTATGAAATATGTGGACTTTTTCACAGATGGTAGAGAAGGAAATATCAATTGATAGAAAAAGGGAATATGATTTAGTTCTTTAACTGTATGATGTCTTCTCCCTCACACACAGGTTTTGGGAAGAGAATGTTATGCCAATTTTCATCGACCAGTAACACTGTGTTCTGTGCCCATTATTTTGTAAAAGTGAATGGAAGCCGAGTGGTTGATGTCTTGAGGAGGTTGTAGAAAAAAAAAAATCAGTTGGTTTTCAGAGTGTATTCAGAAGTTAGGCTCCTCTTAGAGGTAGAGTATATTCTTCTGTAACCTGTAAAAATTAGGCTAAGATGATGAAACACTTTTATTTTCTCTGTGGCAAGCAATTTTTTTTACCAAGTCTAGAACAGCTGCTTTCGAGAAATTGTGTTTGAAGCATTCTCCATGCTTCTGAAACAGAAGTCTTCCTCATTCTTGACTTGAGATCCTTGAATTCACAAAGTGCCCAGATTTTTTTTCCTAACTAATTGTTCTGACAGCCTAAATGTATACTCCATTAATATTTTTCCATGAACTCAACCACCATCATCTCATGATCTGATGTTGTATATCCCAGAAAGGATACTCCTGAACCTTTTCTGTGGGATTCAAATCATAGTTTACAGTGCCTATGAAAATACCTGGACTCTGTCTAAGTGAGTCAAAAACATCACTCAATACTCAATTTTTTTTAGGGCTATGATACCAAGATGATCAGAAAGATGATCAGATTTAGGATAAGAATTACCACTGTTTTCACAGTTTCAGATGAAGTCAGTAGTAGTTGCATTGGTACTGTAATCGGTGACAGATCTCACATTTGTAAAAGCTGCTATCTCTTTTTTCTTTTGCTGCAGTCCTTAGTAAAAATCCTGGAGAATCTACTTTGGTGATTCACTTGGGAACTAGTTTTGTTATATGCACTTGGGAACTAGTTTTGTTATATGCTGGTCTTGGTAATGAAACTGGCCTAAAAAACCTCATCCATCATGAGTTGTTCATTTTCATCCATCAGCTGTGTCAACACTGAGTTTTGTGTGTTATAAACCAGCTCATGAGTCCACTTGGGTCAAAAATTCACCCTTTTTAGGCTTTTTCTGCTTTTCACCATTCTTATTGCAGTGATGCAGTAACAGCAGTTACCTCCAAACAGCTGTATCTGCACGTACTGTGTTGCTGACCTGAGACTCAGGATTGCCCATATTTACATTTTTGGCAAAGATGGTGTAGTGTGAAATTACAGCCTTGACATTAGACATGAGTATGATCAAACAATGACTTTTTGGAGGAAGTTCTGATCCTACTTTGAACAAATAGATTTTCAAAAAGCAAGTCAAGTGATTTCCATGGTCTTACTTAATGTAGTCTTAGAAGCTGCCCATATGAACACCTGCACTCAATTGTTTTCTCTGCCTCTCATCACCTCTGTATAAAACAGCCATCAGGTCATTTATTTTGATCTATTTAATATTCTCCCTGTAGAAAAATATTGCTAACAGTGTACACCACACACAGCCTGACTTTTCTTGATTTGATAACCACGTTCCATCTACGTATGTCATACACTATGTTATGATCCAGATTTCCTCATAATTATGTCATTTGAAATGACTGTATGTACATGCTGTAGATTGCTTCAAGAACCTGACAGATTTCTTGGCATAATTTATTTCTGCATTTAAAATAATGTTTATGAACATACTGAAATGTGCATTAGCTCTAATGAGTTGTCTTAATATATCGAACATGTCAAAGTCTGAGTGCTAGTTTGTGTTCTTTGGCTCATTACCCGAGATAGGGATTTTTGTGAAAACAGAACATTTGCTTGTTAGAACTTTGTAACATTTTGAAATATGAAGTTCATAGCAGAAAGTTCATACTAAATTATGGGTTATGATGAAGAGTATCAGCAGCCAAAATCCTTTGTGAAGAGCAGAGCTAACAATAAATGTGTTTTCCCTATCCCATTTCCAATTAGCAGTTCTGTGAAGTAAAGGAACAAGCAATTTCATAGGGTTAAATAATTTCTTCTTTCTATTCTACATGGAAAGCACTCCAAAGACAATATTTGCTTCTTAGATTGGATTGCAGTCTAACACTACATTTCTACATCGCTTCACCTTACAGCTAAAAATCTAGGTACAAGCTTAAATCTAGGCCAAAATCTGTGATAAGAAGGTAACTTGTCCCTTTTATTAAGTGTATGTATTGATGACAGAAGTTAAATAGTTGTGTCATGGAAGCAAATGTATAGAGTTACAGATAATAGAGCATSTTTCAAAGGATCTCCCAACAGCTGCCGCCTGGTCTAACACAAACTAAAGATGCCAAACAACACTTGTTTAAATTTAAGCTTGACTTGACAGAGCTTTTTTGGTCTCTGATGAAGAAGCATGTATTGCAAAATATCACACAAGAAACATGGCATGGATATATGGATATCAGAGATCAAACTGAAAGCCTCTGTGGCTTTAAAATGCTTGGTTGTGTGCTTTATTCACATTCTCRTTATATTTAAATCCCTCCTGTATGTGTTTTTATTTTGCCACCTTGGATTTTAAATGCCAAAAAATGCACTTTGATTCATTTAACTTGGACATTTGTGCAGAAATTAGATAATGGGTAATGGTAGTGTGTGATAAGACACGGTCATAGCTAGGGGTGAAATCTACCTCCCATGAACTTTGCTTTGTAGGTGGATGGAGCAATCCAGCTGGATATGGAACTGTTCTCAATGTGCTGCCTGTCCTTTCACACTGCCACCTCTCTGGTTATTGGCAGGTTATCAGAACACAGCTTGACTCAACAGGGTGAGCGCATGGTTAGCCCATGTTACACTTTCTAAATCGAATACAGGATTCTGAAGAAGTGACTACAATTTAATAGACAAGTAAAAAGTTTCTCTGTTACAAAGTGGCTTATTTTAAAAGGGTTGAATGGGACCAAAAGTTGAATACTTTCATGTGATCAGCATATTGTGACCCTTTTACCTTCTCAGCTTTAAATCTTAAAGGTCTCACGGACAGTTTGCTTTAGGGGCTGCGGTTCTATGGCAGCTTAAATTACTTCATGGCCATGAAATCCCAGCCCCTCCTGTAGTCTGGCTTTTGTAACCACTCAGTGATTTAGGACATGGATAGGACTGGAAGTGCATCAGTGCTTTAACTTGCAGCTAGCTTCCTCAATCCTAATGAGGATGATGCCACTCATTGTTTTCCTCACTCGTTTTGATTCCTTTTGTTGTTGTTGTTGTTCYTGAGGCCTAGGCTGCCCAWGATTATTTGTGTCTTTTTCCCCAAAATTTCTAGAAACTGTTTATGATACTGCCAGTAGAACTGAAATTATTGAGCATGTTTTTTCCTATTTACTGGTTTCACCCTTCTGGTCCCTCTGACACCTATGGTCCTCTCCCTTTACCAACACTCTTAAGAGGTTCAGATTTTAAAATAACACACAAATTCTTTTTACATGTATTTGTAACAGGAATGACTAGATCTAGAATTCTGTCCTGACTTTCTCACTTKAGAACTAAAACAGAAGGCAGACACCATAATGGGGAGCATACAGTCAAAATAGAAATAATAATGTATAGCAGCTTAAGTTTGTACCACGCTCTTGGTGTATATTGGCTTTTATAAGTAATTCTGGTTTACTGAAAAACATTTTTAAGTTGTATTTTTAAAATAACTGCCATTCTAGTACAAGGTTCCAAAATAAGTGTCATTAGTTGGCTTGTGCTCAAATCTTAATATTTAAAGATTGCTTCCTGACCTTCTTCAGCTGCATGGATGAGAACTGAAAATAATCTTCAATTTCCAAAAGAAAGAGGGACCAGTCCTTTCCRTCACTTTGTGCTATTAGAAAAGGTCCATTCCTAAACAAACAAAAAGAGATTCATCAGTGCTTAATATCTTCAGTAGCCATTACTGACAGAGAATCATGCATTTGATCTCAATAGAAGCACCATAAATGCAGGCTATTTATAATGTTTGATATCTGTGTTTCAATACTACTACTACTACTACTACTACAACAACAACAACAACAACAAATAATAATAATAATAATAATAATAATAATAATAATAATAATAATAATAATAATAATAGTTTCTTACTGTATTGTGGGATAAAAGCCAGAAATCTACAAACTGTCCCGTAGATCTTTCATCCAAAGGCACAGCTGGTGAAATTTAAATAAGTTCATGTTGGCTGTTCCTTGACTGCTCAGTATGACATTGTACGCCAAGATTTTCATGTCCCAGCTTGGGTGTTCACAGGTAGTCTGCMGGCACCTGTGTGCTCAAGGTCTGCAAAGCTTCTATTGATCATGGAATAGTGCTGAGTGAAACCTAAACAGGATGCTTCACTAGGACCTTGGTTTTATTGCCTCTGTCTTCCTCTATTGAAGCATCCATGCCATATGAAAATCCCACTCATTACCTTATTCCTTCCCACCTTTCCTTTTCATAAGCCACACAAAACAGCTGGGGAGGGTTGTATAGTTTGTTTCTCACCTATGGGACTATCCTGTTATGCACCAGGTAAATTATTCCTAATAGAAACTTTGTAGTGGCCAAACTGCAAAAGATGGGGCCTGGAGAAATTCTTCTGGTTTGACCACTTTTGGGAAGGGTTCTCCTGAGGTGGGTGACCACAGGAGTGCTAAGCTGAGGTGCAATGACTCTGCAGGTATCTKTCAAAGCTCCGGTTTTTACTAGGACCCTTCTTTTCTCTGATGGTCTCTCTCTTCCCTCTTAGCAGCCTTCAGCGCTTCTCCAGCATTCTGTTGCCAAGTGTTGAGGAATGTGGCAACTTTTTCCATTCAATTCTGAGGTTTTTGTCTAAACTTCATGAAATGATAGGCTAGAGGGAATCCAAACCAAGGTGCTGCTGTGCATTCTCAGTCAGAAACTTAAAAGGGTTCTTAGGGCTGGTGCGATGTCTGTCCTGACATCCCTTCCAGGGGGCTTTGACCTACATTTCAGCCAGGCCTCCTATTTCTTCCTGGACTTCAGAATATTCATTTCCAGGAATTTCCTTCCCTCCTTAATGCTTATAAGATGGTAATGCCTCCTCAGCAAGACTGACCCTCAAACACATATTTCTCATTACATGAACCCTGCTTTCCAACAGGAGGGTGGCACAGTCATGGCTGGTTCTGCCTTCCCCTAAGCAAGCTTGCTACTTTCAGCAGTAGGGGCTAACAGGTGCTCTCACATTGTCATGCCAATGTGCTCTGGCTCCACAACTGCCTGGTCTTGAGCTCAGGAAGCTCTGGGATCTAGCAGTTGTGTTTAAACCTTTCCCACTGGTAAAGAGCATGTATTTTCAGAACACAAGTTCTGAATCTCCCTGAATCGAACCATTTTGAATTCTTTTTGAGGAGCATAAACAAATTATTTCTTAATTTAAGGGGTTTGTATGAGCTTTACATATATATATATCTATTTACACACACACACCTTCATAATGTAAATGTGTGTTGCCAGGTATCCCACTGTAAGGCTTGTCTAGCAAAAGAGGTTGTTTTTTTACTCATATCAAACTATCCAGTTACATGAAAGGTAAACAAATACTTAATTCTTGCTTATCTAAAGGCAAAAGAATTGTGTTCTACCAAGCAGACTGTGTGGAGGTATTTCATATGCACACCAATTTACACCTTTTATTAGAAAAGCAGTTGCACTTTGTTTTCACTTATCAAGGCTTTGCACCTGAGCTGCTGTGAGTGCCTGCATRCCCATCTGCCCTGTCTTAAACATGTAAACAAATACATGTTCCTCAACATCTCCTGCCTGCTAAGTCTTAGCATTTCCCAAAACAGGGCCTAAAGGCAGCATAGATTGCCAAGGAAACAGAGAAGGGAAAGAAAAGAATCTTGATAAGCTGCTGCTTAATTGGTTAATAAATGAAAGTTAAAATATAAGAGGAAATGTTTAAAAGAACAAACTGCAGCAAGAGTTTTCTGGCAGGGCTACAGAGGGAAATCACATGATACATTCTGAAATTTGCAGACTCTGGGAGGGATCCACAATTTCTTGTCCATGTGGAGACAGGAAATGCTCACCAGACTGGTAGTCTTCAGCAGCTTATTAAAAWAGCCTCTTAATTTTATCCGTGTTTCATTTCCACAGAAAAACTCAGTGCTGCTGTGGTGGTGTCTCAAGCTATGTGTACTCAATCTCTGTATCTCTTCCTTTAAGTTCAGTGTGAAGTCAGTCTCCTTCCTTCCACTGCCCTAAAAATCTGTGTGGTTCAGCCCTGTGGGAGCCTCTCCTGCACCCGCCCTGCCAGTTGCTGATGCTGCTTTAAAAACAGTTCATTTGATCTGCCACAAGGAGGTTTAGATCAGCAGATCCTTAAAGCAGGTATGAAGCCTAGGGGCTGGCTGTGTTAAGGCTCCAAGAGCTCAAATTCTGGATTGGATGTAGGCAGTGGCAGGAAGACATTCCTGGATGGTGACCTTTGGTTGTGATAGGGTTTCGTGGCTATGATATTTTCCCAAACTTTCCTGTTTCTCTTTTTTGTACTTTCCTTTACCTCCATCCTTTTCCCATGGATATGAATCAGGACCTAAAGTCTTGTTTACATATTTAATTGTGTGCATTACCAGGCTAATTTTTAAGCATTTTTTTTAAATTTGTGCCTGGATTTCCACAGTTGCAGAAGTAGTTTTCTCAACTGTAATGCTAACCACTATTAAAATCTTTTTSGTTGCTCTTATTTCTTCAGCATCTGTAATAAAATTCTGCCTCACTACTGCCTGTATAATTTTTTCTCCTTATCCTGTATCCTTGACAGTTGCCTAGGGGGAGTGGATATGGCTTATCCATCCTCCAGTTAGTAATGATTGAATGGAATAGAGAATGCTTTTACAGGGATGCATAAATGCTGTATGAGCACTTTGCTTAATTTTTTTTATACAGAATTTTATTTATAATTCCACCTTCATCCTGAAGATGAATTAATTTTAAGCAATCCTGGCAATAGTTTCTGCAGTACTTTTTGCTGACTCCTTAGTACAAGCACTTTAGTAATGAGCACTGGTTACTCTTGTCTGAGTAAGTGATGACTGAAGAAAGTAAGTTTTTCTGTGTGTCATATGCTTCCTGTTGCATCTTCCCATCATCCTTCAGAGACCTGTGTGCTGTGGCAACTGTTAGCAAAACCCCTTTTAGCATCACCTAAATGCCTGTGTAGGTGGGGCTTTAGGAAGAGAGTAATGTGTCAGTTGAGGACACTGGTAGCAGGTAGATCTTTAATCCAGGAACGGGGCTGAGGTGCCCTGCGGGAGATGTATTCTGTTTGTCTGGTGTGTGGTTCCTAAGAGATGGACTTCCTTTGTATGCTTCAAAAGTACCAAAAGAGCAGCAACAGGACAGACTGGCTCCTTTTATCTGGAGCTTTGTGGCTCCCTCATAATGCATAGACTTTTTTATCAGAACAGTCAAAGGCTGTGTTCTGCTACTGTTAGGAGCTATGGCTGATGCACACCTCTTACTGTAAACACTCCCTGATTTGGTTTTAGGGTTAACAACTGTTGACTGCTCTTCTCACTTAGGTATGACCCGCTCTCACCTAACTCACATCCCCAGGAAGGCAGGCTTGAAAGGTTACTGGGGAAAAAGGGAAATAATTTGATCACGAAAGGCAAGAGGAAACTTGGTRTTTTTTTCTTATCTTTTGAATCTTGCTGCCAAATTGGTGCATAATTTATTGTRCAAAAGGTCTTGCTTACTGTTTGCTGTTTTCATGTTTGTGTGTTTGTTTTCATGTTGAATACTGAACAGATCCAATTGCTGCTGCTAGAAGGAGATGTCTGTCCACCAAAAGGGATCMGTAATGTTTTCCTTTATTTGGAGACTTTTTGAATGCTAAATTGCCTGTATCTATACTTCATAATGCACCATATGCAGATATTCTTCAGGAATTGATACTATCACTTCAGTCAATATTTTCTATGTTAGAATAGTACGTTTACTATACTGCCAAGAATGTATATATATCTGTGAAGACTTAAAATTGTATCTTTTTGAGCAAGCCTCTTTCTTCAACCATCTGAAACTTTCTTCCTGTTTCTCAAGTTCTCTGCTAATTTATTAGACACTTGTGTTATATTGTGTACTTTTTGTATCAGTTGTACTGCTGTATTTCTCCTTTCTCTCATTAAAACTTATTCTTCTCATCCTTCTGCTGTGCTGCTTCATATTGAAAATACTCACACCATATCAAGTAACCTAATCTAGTGTAGTGGGTCAGGCTGAGATGGAGCCAGACCAGTCCTAAACAGCCATTCAGACTTCTATYAAATTGTTCCACTGATACCAACATGTAATCAGCTTTATTGTATTAAGCTTTATTTTGCTGTATAGTCTGTACTTTTATAATATAGTAAAGAAGAAACCTGGAATGGGACTTGCAAGGTATAAACAAATGGACAAGACACAAAATATGTACTGGGAGATTAAGTCCATAATTCTTATAGATGGTCGTTTCTGCTGACATTCATTAAGAAATTGTTGAGCTTCCTGAGAGAAGCAAATTTTGAGGAGAGATTTAGAAGAGGATTCCAAGGGCAATAATTTTCCTAGAAATGTGGCCATCAACTTAGGTCAGTCAGTTATCTGTGTCATCTCCATGCTTAATTCATCTTACAGGTAAATGAAGAGGGAAAAAATGAATACAGATTAGGATCTGTTTGCTTACTTCCGCTAAAGAAACAGCTGATTTACAGACAAGAAAATGCTGTCTCCCAAGAAATCACTCCAGGAGCAGTTAGAGAAATGATAGTGCTTTTTAKATCATCCTAGTGAAAATCAAGATTTTCAGTGTTTTACTGATGCTAATCCTTATTTGGAGTGCATAATCTTTC